CTCCCCCGACCACCCACCCCTGGTTGAGATTAAGTTTCTCTCTCAACCAGATTTGTGCAAAAATGGTCTGGATCATCCACCCTGCAAACCCCTGCCTGACTCAACTGTTTTTTGCGTTTTTTTTGTCTTTTTTTTTAAAAACTGAGGTATAGTTGATGTACAATATTTTATAAGTTACAGGTGTGCAACATAGTGATACCACAGTTTTTAAAGGTTATACTCCATTTATAGTCATAAAATATTGGCTATATTCCCTGTGCTGTACAATATATCCTTGTAACTTACTCATTGTATACATAGGAGTTGGTACCTCTTAATCCCCCACCCCTATGTTGCCCCTCCCCCTTCCCTCTCCCCACTGGTAACCACTGGTTTGTTCTCTACATATGTGAGTCTGTTTCTTTTTTGCTTTATTCACTAGTTTTATTTTTTTAGATTTCACATATAAATGATATCATACAGTATTTGCCTTTCTCTGTCTGACTTATTTCACCTAGCGTAATGCCCTCCAAGTCCATCCACGTTGTTGAAAATGGCAGAATTTCATTCTCTCTGTGGCTGAGTAGTATTCCAGTGTGTGTATCTTCCTTATTCATTCATCTATTGATGGACACTTAGGTTGCTTCCGTATCTTGGCAATTGTAAATAGAGCTGCAGTGAACATTGGGGTGCGTATATCTTTTTGAATTAGTATTTCTGTTTTTATCAGGTATATACCCAGGAGCAGAATTTCTCAGTCATATGATAGTTATACTTTTAGTTTTTTGAGGAAGGTTCATATTGTTCTCCACAGTGGCTGCACCAATTTACATTCCCACCAACAGTGTAGGAGGGTTCCCTTCTGTCCATATCCTCTCCACAAACTTCTGCCTCACTCAATTGACTTTTTATTACGTAACTTCCCTACAGAAGAGATGTTACATAATGCTAATCATATTATGCCCATTACCTGTGGCATCATGTACAAATTTCAGTCTGAATTTAAAGTCATTTTGTAACTGGCTTCATGCTACCCCTCCAACTTAATTCCTATCCATAGGAATAGCAGGGCCTTTATCACTCGTTCTTTTATCCACTCTATTCATGCCATCTTGGGCTTTTGTTCACGTGTCCGTCTCCATGTGTTCCTTCTCTCAGTCCAAACACTATGCATCTGTAAAGCCAGCTTGTGTCCCATCTCCTTGACTCCAGCCCACTGATATCCCTGTTCTTTGAACATCTAGTGTCAGCACCACATAGTTTCATACTAGTTATTCTTTCCTTGTTCCAGTAATTAAGTCTCCCCCCAGGTAGACTGTGAGCTCCTTGATCTGGGTCGCCCCCGCTAAGTGTCTTCTTTTAAAAAAAAAAAAAAAAAAATTTTATTTATTTATTTTATTTTTGGCTGTGTTGGGTCTTCGTTGCTGTGCGTGGGCTTTCTCTAGTTGCAGTGAGTGGGGGCTACTCTTCGTTGCGGTGTGCGGGCCTCTCGCTGCGGTGGCCTCTCCTGTTGTGGAGCACGGGCTCTAGGCTTGCAGGCTTCAGTAGTTGTGGCTCGCAGGCTCAGTAGTTGTGGCTCGTGGGCTCTAGAGCACAGGCTCAGTAGTTGTGGCGCACGGGCTTAGTTGCTCCGCGGCATGTGGGATCTTCCCGGCCCAGGGCTCGAACCCGTGTCCCCTGCATTGGTAGGCGGATTCTTAACCACTGCACCACCAGGGAAGCCCCCTGTAAGTGTCTTCGATACTCCCTGCAGTATCCAGCCAAGCCTATGTGCTGTGCAGTAAATAATAAAGTAATTTTGACCCTGCTCAGATGTTTGCCCACCTGAAAACTGCACTGATGACTTTCTAGAAACTGAAGTTCATTTATCTTGTAAAAAGAAATAGTATCTTTGTTGCCAGTACCCATGATCACCCAGTCATGCACATATACACCCTTACAACCTTCCCAAGTGGGGGAAGAAAAACGATGAAGACGGGAGGTTTGAAAGGTGATCCCTGACCCTACGATTTCCAACCTGCACTGGGTCCTTAACACTCTTCTTTTCTTTCCTATTTTTAATTGAAATATATTTGATTTACAATATCGTGTTCGTTTCAGGTATACAGCACAGTGATTCAGTTATACATATATATGTATATATAACGTCTTCAGATTCTCTTCCCTTATACGTTATTAGAAAATATTGAGTAGAGTTCCCTGTGCTCTACAGGGGGCTCTTGTTGGTTAGCTATTTTATATAGTAGTGTGTTTATGCTTAACACTCTTGTGATGCGTTTGCCCTCCCCTCTTTCCCCAGAGAGCTCCTGTGAGAACAAGCGGGCAGACGTGGTCTTCATCATTGACAGTTCCCGCAGCGTCAACACCCACGACTACGCAAAGGTCAAGGAGTTCATCGTGGACATCTTGCAGTTCTTGGACATTGGCCCTGACGTCACCCGTGTGGGCCTGCTGCAATATGGCAGCACCGTCAAGAATGAGTTCTCCCTCAAGACCTTCAGGAGGAAGTCCGAGGTGGAGCACGCCGTCAAGAGGATGCGGCATCTGTCCACAGGCACCATGACGGGGCTGGCCATCCAGTACGCCCTGAACATCGCGTTCTCAGAAGCAGAGGGTGCCCGGCCACTGAGGGAGAACGTGCCGCGGGTCATAATGATTGTGACCGATGGGAGGCCCCAGGACTCGGTGGCTGAGGTAGCCGCAAAGGCCCGGGACACAGGCATCCTGATCTTTGCCATTGGCGTGGGCCAAGTGGACTTCAGCACGCTGAAGACCATCGGCAGCGAACCCCACGAGGACCACGTCTTCCTGGTGGCCAACTTCAGCCAGATTGAGTCGCTGACCTCAGTGTTCCAGAACAAGTTGTGCAGTAAGTCCTGTTTCTCTGTGGCTCTTCTCAGGGAATCATTAGGATAAGTTCATTCATCTTGCAGTGTTCATTCTGTGTTAACCTGGTCCCAGGTACCGGGCTGGCAAGGGGTGTTTAGCAAAGGCCAAGGTAGACACGGTGCTCTCTTGGGGCTCACGCTCTGGCCAAGGAGACATATTAAGGATGCAGTTATACAAATACGTAAGTGACTGCAGTTGTAACAGTGTAACGGAGGAAGAATTCAGGACAGGACCTGACCTAGGCCAGGGGCCTCAGGGAGATTTCCCTGAGGAAGGGACATTGACACTCAGACTGCAGAATGAGTAACAGTAGGTAGGGGAGGTTTTTCTCCAGCACATTGGCTTGCCCTGGCATCATTCCCTAGGTTGGAATTCATGAGTTGTAGTAAGCATGGGAATGGGAGGGCAAAAATAATAACACAACTTCTTGGATGGTGTGGAATACTGAGCATTTTTGCCCCATGGTGGTGCTAGCAGTGGATGTTTTCTCAACCCAGAAAGAGGCCCAGTGTACGGGGAAGACCAAGACGCGCTCCTGGTACCTTCCCACCTGATAGGATGGCAGGTGCCTCCCGACTCCTTCTGCAAGGACATGCTTCCCCAAGTCCTTGAGCTGCATTCTTCTGCTTTAAGGGTCTTCTTCCCCATCTTGCTTTCTAACCCTGCACTCCCCAAGGCTTCTTTCACACTTTCTTGCCACACTCCTCCCACTTACCTGCAAGCCGAGCTCCTGCCTCAGCTTTCCCAGCAGGTCAACTCGCCCTCTCCCCAGTTTCCTGCTTCTGCCACCGTCTTCTCGTCCCTTTCTCCTCCAGAAGGGCAGGGCGCCAGCCTGCCAACCCAGGCTCCACACTGGTCCCTGGAAATGGGAAGCAAGCCTCCTGACCTGGTAAACAGTGTCCAGTCCAGCTTTGCCCACCCCCATTGGTCCCTGTCCCCTCCAACTGCCATGCTTCTTTGATGGGAAAACAAAAGCAAGTATCTATTCTGCAATGCCCAGTATTTCCCTGGAGTCTGCATGGAGAATGACCTTAAGGACCAGACTCATCTCCAACTCACCGGGAGCAGGAACCTTTAGACCAGTTCTCAGAATGTGACAAAGCCTAGAAACACCCCCCCACGTCTTTTTAAAAAAATTCTCTGCACTAATTCTTGACTCCAAAATCAAAAGTTTTACTTAAAAAATCAACGCCATGAAGGAAAAAGAAACTTTTGCTCTGCAGTGTCACTTGGAAAACATTCAGAAGTGCCATTTCCCTGGCGCCGCAGAGGGGCTGGGTCTCTGTGGCGTGCCGTGGCCTGAGTCACCTGGAAAACTTCAGCCAGTAGAATGCACTGCAAACATTTTTAAGGTTTATGACTTCAAATGACTTCTGCAGAATTTATATTCCCTCTTTCCTGGAAATATTAAAAAAAGAAATTGGTTCTGTAACAGTTTTGACGTGTTTATTCAGTTGTCTTGGAAAAATGTTAATGGATGAGTTCTTTTATAAGCTCTCTGAATTGCTCAGCAAAGGGAAAGGTAATATAATGAGGCTGAGGATATGGACTTGTTCATAGAAGAACCTTCTCTGTGCTTTATGGCCTGGCAGCAAAATTAAAAGTTTGGCTACTCCCGTTTTTGTAATCTTGAAGCTCTAAGAAAACATCAGTATTGTGCCATTCATTCATTCATTTGTTAGGGCCCGAAAACTGAGTCCCCCTTCCTACCCCACAGAAGACCAGCTCCTGTCTTTTCTCATCCCAGGGCTCTGCTGAGCAGACTTGTCAACTGTCTTGAAAGGTGAAGGAGGCCCCGGGGCCTCTTCATCAACCGTGCAGTAAGGATCACAATAACTGACATTTACAAAGCACTTTCTCTTGTGTTTTCGCACTTTATCCTCACGAAAATCTGGGGAGGCAGCACGATGCCATCCCTCCCTTTTACAGGACTGTAAACTTGTTAAGTGGATTCCCAAGCAGCCAGGAGATGGTGGGTTCTACTTCCAAACCTCTTGCTTATTTCATTTCTCTTCGCATTGGGAGATAGAAATTCCTCTTTTAAGGTAAACGGTTTTCTGCAGGCAGCCTCCGCAGTCCAGCCATGCTAGGCACACCAGCTCTGAGGTTGATACTCACCTCGGAGTTTGATGGGAAGCCTTTGCGATGGGGAGGGGCAGACTGAGGTTTCAATGATCCCACCTGCCAGCTGTACAGATGCTGAGCACATCTGTAAACTGGGGATTTTGCCTGCAGAGAGTAGGTGTGTGAGTCGGCATCTTTTTTAAAAAAATGGGGTAGACTGTAGAGCCCCATTCAGTGTGCACCATGTTGTATATGATTACGGTCAAACACACGGAGGACCAGCAGGGTAGGCAGATGGCCTCAGCTTTGACCTGACCTCCAATCCTCAGACAACAGCGTCTACCATGTTGCAGATGGCGGTTCTCTGGGGTTTTGGAAGTCTCATTGGTTCCTTAAACATTTATTGAGCTATAGTCTGAGGATAACAGCCAGTTTTGTCCTGGGCTAGGCACTTGGCAGTACGTTATTTCACTGAATACTTACAACAGCCCTGTGAAGCAGGTACTGTTATTATCCCATTTTACAGAAGTAGAAACTGGGGCTTAGAAAGGATAAGCGGCTTCAGGCGGCAGAGTTGGAGTCTCTCTGGCTTCAAACTCTTAGCCTCCACCTGCCGGGTCTGAGGGTTTCAGGCTGGTGGGAAGATGCTCTCATCACAGAGAAATGGGATGTTGGCTATATGAAATATGCACTTCAGAGGCCTTGGGAAGTCACCTGGCACTGGGGGCCCTCTGATCAAAGAATGCCAGGGTCTGCCTAGGGAGTCCAGGAGAGCTTTAAAGAGATAATAATGATTATAACTAACACTTATTGATATTAGTATGTGCATGTGCTGTTTCGCGCTATTAGAGTATGTTAACTCATTTTATTCTCACAACAAACCTGTGAAGTAGGTGCTCCTATAATTCCCATTCTACAGAAGAGGAAATAGGGACCCAGAGAAGTTCAGTAACTTGTCCAAGGTCACATAGCACTAAGTGGCAGAGTTGAGGTGTGAACCCAGGCATTCTGGCTCAGAACCTACATCTTAACTACTATGTGCTACACAGACTTGAAAGAGGAGTAGCGGGGACTTCCCTGGTGGCCCAGTGGTAAAGAATCCTCCTTACAATGCAGGGGATGTGGGTTCAATCCCTGGTCAGGGAACTAAGATCCCACATGCCGCCAAGCAGCTAAGCCTGTGTGCCGCAACTACTGAGCTCGCGCGCCTCAACCAGAGAACCTGCGTGCCGCAAAGTACAGAGCCCACGTGCCCTGGAGCCTGCGCGCCACAACTAGGCAAGAGAAAACCCGCACGCCACAACTAGAGAGAAGCCCGCATGCCGCAACGAAAAGATCCCACGTGCCTCAACGAAGATCCCGCATGCTTCAACTAAGACCCGACGCAGCCAAAAATAAGTATATAATAAATAAATCTTAAAAAAAAAAAAAAGAGAGAGAGTAGGAGTTTACCAACTAGAGATGTGTAGGGAGGACGATTGCAGTAAGCCAAGAAAAGGATGATATTTTTAATAGTTTTTTCTATTTCATTTAAAAACAAAAACAAAAAAATGAGTCCAGAGTCTCTGTTAATTTCGTGGCCTGCTAAGGAGGCATAACCCACAGCTTGAGAAATGCTGATGAGAGGCTAGGCAGGGACGTGGAGGTCAAAGTGCACCTAGAGAAGGGATTTCAGAGGGAAGCTTGAGCTGAGGCTCGTGTGCTTTTGAGCAGAACAGAAAAACGCTGTTGGATCTGTGGATCGGTGGGGACAGGGTATCTCCAGGAGTGATTAAGACAGGAACCTTTATCGTACAATTAGGAAGAGATTAGGCTCTTGTGCTCACTGGCTGTGTGGACGTGAACTCAGGCACAGCAGTGGCTTTGTACCCACAGGCAGTGAATTCCCACACCAGCCACAGCTGGGGGCAGGAGGGCTCCTGAGGTTGCATTCTCAGGCCACTCCGAGACCTCCAAGAGAACCTTAGAGGCCTCCTGTGAATGAGGCCCTGTCTACAAGATGACCAAAACCTACCCATCCTGGGGCCCACCATTTTTGCCACCCAGTGAGAGAGGACACTTGAATCTAGGGGCTGAAAAATGCATGTCTGTCCTGAGCCTTCTGATGACTTGCAACCTGGGCAGGGCTGCCTTTTTTTTTTTCTTTTTGGCCGCACCAAGCAACTTGCAAGATCCTAGTTCCCCCACCAGGGATTGAACCCTCGCCCTCGGCAGTGAAAGCACAGAGTCCTAACCACTGGACTGCCAGGGAATTCCCAGGGCTGCTTTTACTTAACCTCTTGGTATCTGCTTTATCAGCTTAGCCTGGTATTTAAAGCCTGGAGGCTGGTTGTTCCTACCCTAAGAGCCTCACCCCGCCCAGGCCAGGCACAATAGAAGGCCCTAACAGTGTTCCTAAGACACACCTCCCATCAACCAGCCTGGGTAAAGTCCACACTTACTGCAGCCCTTCAAGGCCCTGTTGCTAAGTGGGAGGCCAGATGGACTTCCACGGGCCTTGACTTTCTGTACCCAGTAACTGTTCCTTTCAAGACCCCCAGTCAGCCCACCACTCTTTTGATCATTTAGTCAATCACATATTCATTAATAAACATTTGTTAACATTCAGATCGCTTGGTTAAAAATCCAATCCTGCCAAAGACTTAGTCTGCTGATTAGTGATTTCTTCCGCCAAATGCAAAGCCTTGACCCAGCTTCCACCTACAAGGCCTTCTGAGGTGTGAGACCACCTGCAGGCCACCGTAGGAGGCAGGACTCTTGTGCCCCCTTCAGTCACATCACAAAGGCCTGCCCCATGGGAGGGCAAGGCATTAGGGCCAGATGCTCTTAGTTTCACCGATTCCTCATCTATAGAATTTTACAGGTGGAAAATTTTTATACTACCTTAGTAAAAATGTTTGGGATTCTTTTGGTTGA